ACCCGGGTGCCCTGCTGCAGGCTGACACAGAGCCAGCTTGTGCCAAAATCAGCGTGTTTGTGCAAAAGGCTGCAAAGGGGCAGCTTGGAGCTGTAAGAAACAAAACAAAGCTTTTGCCAAAGAAATCTCTCCCAGCCGCACTGATGGCCTCAGAGCACAACACAGCACCTCTGTAGGTCCCGTGTGGCCAAGGCCAAGTGCTTCACTGTTAGCTTCTGTACCTTGAAGTTCCAGCTCCTGGAATCACGTAGCAAGGCTGCGACGCAGGGCATGGGTGAGAGGGCAGCAGGGTGAGGAGTGGTGGTGGGCTGGTTGCTGCTTGCCCTGAGCATCACTCACCCTTGCTCATAACTAACGTGCAGTTTAGATAGGACTAGTCTGCTTCTTTGGAAGCTCTGGTCAGAGCTCTTTGCATGGGAGTTTTGATACAGTAAATGCTGATGGTATATATATAAAAAAAGAAGTGCCACTGTTCTGCACCCTGGGGAGGGTTTCTCCTCCCTGCAGAAAGGGCTGGGTGAGACCCCAGTGTGCATTCATCCACTGACTCAGTCAGGTGCAGCTGTGTGTGCTGAGCCACCTGCACCACTGCCAGGGTTGGCAGTCTGCAAATTGGAGCTGCTCTGTTGGCAATCAGCCCCTGCTGCTTCTGCTCCCCGAAGCCACGCATGTGCTGCATCCCCTTCCTTCCCCCAGGTTTGTTTCCTTTCAGCCTCAGGTGATGGCTGTGGGATTGAGAAGGAAAATTCGAATGAGAACATTGGTGAGCAGCCGGGGTTTCCGCTGTTCCTCTGTTTCTGCTTTTCTCTGTGCCTGGGACTGGAGGGGCTGGGGGCTCTGTGGGGTCCCAGGTCGCGCAGGACTCAGGGCTGCAGAGGAGGGCTCAGGCTGGGAGTGGGGATGGTGGCCACTGGGGTGATGCTCAGCGGGACTGTGGGCTGCCTGCGTGTGTTCTGGTGCGATGGATGGACAGGATGACGTGCGGATGGATAGGCGTAGAGGGGAAGGAGTAACTGCTACTCGAATGAGGAGAAAGTGGTTTGGGTGCAAACATCCAAGCGTAAGGAGATTTGCGTTGCTTAAATGTGTTTCAACTGTGAAGGCAAACTGTCAGATCAGCTGTTTTGTGGGAACAGTGTAGAAGTGAGCACGCATCGGAGGGAAGTGCAGATTCGCCCCTGAAACAACATCTCCTGGCCCCGGCGCTGGCACAGCGTGGGATGGTGGGTCCCACTGTGCTCCCACCCCACCTCCACCACCAGGTCAGCCCTGCTAAACCCTCCTGCACTGACCTGACCCACGTGAGCTGCATCCTGCCGCCCCCCAGCAGCATCCCCTGCAAATTATGGCACAGGATTGCCTGCATCACCTCTTTGCAGCATCCCTCTTACGTTTCTTTACCTCTGCAAAACTGTCCCTTCCTGAGAGGTGTGCAGGAAAATCCCCGCATGCCCCCCAGCCCCCTGCCCTCTGATCTCTTTATGGTGTTTGTGCTGGGCTCCCCCACGCTGAAACTGCTCTTTGCCTTTGCTCTAATCTCCCCATCAAGCAGGTTGGGCAGGGGACAGCACAGCGAGTGCTCTGCAGAATGGGCAGATCCCAACCAGATGGACGGAACGCTCTCACCTGGGGCTGCAGGTGATGTTTTTGGGGTTTCATTCACAGCAATCGGTGTCCAGGGCAAAGCCCCTGACTCCTGGAGAGTAACTTTGGATAAAGCCCAAATTCTCCATCCTGACAGCTCAGTGCTGCACTGTGCCTGGGGGGAACCAACCCACGGACAAAGCTGCAGCCCCAGGAGCCCAGCACCCCCCTCAGCATCCAGCTTGTGCTGGGGAAGGGACGAGCAGTGAGAGGTCCCTTGTCCAAAGTCACTCCGGCTCGCATGCATTTAACCCATTCTCGATGAAGCGTGTCGTGTTCCTGGTGTTCTTTCAACCTGGAAAATTTGCTAAGGCTTTAATAATACCTTTGGTGTATCTTGGCAAGGCTGGGAAATGCCTGGGCTGATAAAGCCTCAAAGTCAGGGAGATAACACCTGGAAGCATTTCAGCCTTGGGCTGAGCTATGGGGGGTGCTGGCTGCAGCCTCACACCAAACCTTGTGCTGGGAGGCTGGAACTCAGCATGGAGCCTCAGCGATGCCCACTGAGCAGGAGCTCAGCCCAGCATTGCAGCCACTCTGAGGAGCGACGGCTCATCCAGCACCCAGCTCTGCTCCTCCTGCAGCCCCACAGCTGGAGAGATCCCCCCCAAAACAGCCTCCAGAGGTTTAATCTGCATCCATTTGCAGACACAAGGACATCCCTGCTGCTGCCTCCGCCGCTCTGTCCTGCTGACCTTGGGTGGGTGACGCGTCCCGGGCGCTGGTTAATGTTTGCTGTGCCTGTCGCAGGCGGGAGACGGCTGTTTGCAAAGAGCTCGTCACCTGCAGGGGGAAATGTGGTTCCAGAGGCTCAAGGATCCAGTTGGAATGGTGTACCGTAGAGTTCATGCTATGGAAATGGCTGGAATTAGACCATGGTGAAGTAAGACCTGATGCAAAGTGGAACAGTGTGAACCAAACAACCAGGTGTTCCACACTGTATGGCAGCAATACCTCACAGAACGCCCTAGCAGGCTTTGGATGCTAATTAGCAACGTGGCATCAGATATTTGGTGAGTTGCCCTGCTAGTGGTGCTTGGGGCAGGGATAGGACCCCACGCTTGCAGGCTGGAGCCATCCCTGAAGCGGCCATAAACGCGCCCTGTTTGCCCTCCTGCTGGGCTTTGACCAGGTAAGGGATTAACTGCTGTTTGTTCTGTCTTCCCACTTGGGGTATTTTGGTGCTCGGCACTTCCAGCTCTCCAAAAATAAGCTTCCCTCCCTGAACCACATCGTTAGTACTGCTCATCAGTGCAGCCTGCACTCTGTGCTGTTCCTCCATCTTTCTGAGCCCGCTGTGTATGCACACATGGCGCATTTCTGGATGCATTCAGGAGGTGAAATCAGAGCCTTTGTAGGATGTTGAGAAGCCAAAGCACTGCAGATCTCGGCTGAGCCCTGGCACTGCTCAGCTCACATGAAGGCATCGCTCCTGCCAAGAGACCCATTCAGCACTGCAGGGCTGATGCCCAGCACTGACCATCCCTGGGGCTGTTTTGTGATGTTTTCCTGAGGCTGTGGGCTCTCCATCCTCTCCCCATGGAGCCGTGGAAGCTCAGCACCAGCCCTGCATCAGCCTAAAGGACAGGGACACGACCAGGGCAGCTGTGCAGGAACGCCTCTGGGCACCCTCCTGCTTGTACTCCTAGGTGCACACTTCCTCCTGCACTGCCTTCCTGCTCCCAGCAAGGAATGAGGAAATGCTGGGCCCTGCAGACACATTTATGGACACGTCCCCAAAACACCCCGGGGAGGGGGGGGTGGCTGTCTGGAGCTGCGTGCTTTGAGGGTGTCCTGCAATAGGAGCCCCTGAACGACCCCTGGTGTGGAGGGGGAACCCCAGGGAGCCCCACACCCTCTGCCACCGCTGCTCAGCTGCCCTTGGGCACATCCTGGGTGCTGACCTCCTCCCAGGTGACGTCCAGGTGCCATTGATGTCACAACCCGGGGACCCAAATTGCTAATTATGTCTTGCCTCTGTGCCCATCAATCTCATTTCCTGGTGCTTGTGCAATCTCAGATGCTTTTGTCTTTCTTCCCGGTTGTTGATGTGGCTGAGGGAGCAAAACACCTCCAGAAGAAAACCTGAGCTGTGGGTGGTTGCAGAGGGGTTTTGCTGCCAAAAGGTTTTTCACCTGCCCCGATGGCATGGAGGCAGTTCGCTGTTTTGCACAAAGGCACTCGTGGGGTGAGTCAGGCAGCAGAAAACATGACTTTGCCCTGCAGACCTGGCCAGGTAACAAGGCCCTGAGCTGCCTGGGAGCCTGGGCATGTTTTAAAATATTTTGAAAAGTGGAAAACAAGGGAGGTGTGAGTGCTCACCCAGCCCTGACAGCTGGGACCTTTGAAACTCCCCTCCCCCCCTTCACCCCCGGAAAATAACAGTACTGGGAGCTGCCCATGCTGGCTGCTCGTGTTGCGCTTGCCCCCATTGGTCTGGTTCAGAGCGGCCTGCTTGGGTAACTGGTGACTCTGTGATGCTGTGTCTATGGCAAAGCAAAAAGGCAGCACGGCCTGTTTAACCAATGTGATTGAAAGTGGGCTTTCAAAGTTGCCACTATACTGAAATGGTCTGCTGCAGTTCGCACCTGTTTGCTCAGTTCTTGCAGTTAACCCCAAATTGGGGCGGCGTTGCTACGTGAGGATGGGTTTCATTTTAAAGGTCTCAATGACACTGCAGTGCTTGAAAACATGAAATGTTGGACTGGAGCTCAGTGCAGGGCTGAGGGGAGGCGGCAGCCCTGTGCTCAGCCTCCTGCAGCCCTCAGCACAGCTCTGCTCTCATGGGTGGCTGCACACCGCCCACGTGGGTTTGAACCCACAGCAGCAGGAGGGGGTGATAAACGAGAGTTAAAGAAATGGGATCTAGAAGGTGGGCAACAAGGTGGAGAAGGGTCTGGAGGGCACAGAGTGTGAGGAATGGCTGAGGTCCTGAGGTTTGTTCGGGACAGAGCAGAGAAGGCAGAAAGGAGGCTTCGAGGCAGTTCTACAGCCTCTCATGGCAGCCCCTCACCAACACTGCTCTCAGACACGAGGTGTGCGTTTGGGTGGTGCTGTGCAGGGCCCCGTGATCCCTGGGAGCCCCACGAACTCGGGGTATTCCCTGATCCCACGATTTTGCAACGGCGATATTTTGACGGGGAAACGCTTGCCGTTGCGCTGAGTAACGCTTCAACAAATAACAAACCCGGCAGCGACCGTCCCCCGCGGGGCTCAGTATCGGCAGGAAGCGGCAGCCCCACACCGTCCCACCGCCCCGGGGCGGAGCCCCCTCCGCACCGCCCCCCCGCCTATAAAGGGCGGCGGCCGCGGCCGCGGGCAGCGTTGGGCCGGTGAGCGGCGGGTCGCGGGTTCGAATCCCGCGGGGGGACGCTGGAGGGTCCGGGGGGCGGCTGTTTTTGGGGGGATCGAGGAGGGGGGAAAAGAGGCAAAGGGGTGATGCCACGCTCCGCTCCCGCAGGGTCGTCGCCATGTCGGTGTCACACAGCTCCAGGCTGAACAAGCTGGTGCGGGAGCAGTACATGAGGCTGCCCCAGGGCGGGCTGGTGCAGGTCACCTACGTCTGGATCGACGGCAGCGGTGAGGGCGTGCGCTGCAAGAGCAGGACCCTCGATAAGGAGCCCAAGAGCATCGAAGGTAACACCGCCTCCTCTCCTCCGCTGGCTGTTGGTGTGGTGGGTGGGCGCTGAGCGTGGCCGTGATGAAGCGTTGAGGTGCTTTGGGCACTGGGAGGTGACGTTCACCTGTGCTGGTTGTGCGGTGCTGGCGATACCCGGTGCAGCTGTTGCACAGGGCTGTTCTATACAGCGGTAATGTAAATATCCGGCTGCAGGGTGCCCAGCCTGCAAGCTGTCATTAGTGCTCGGTGGGAAGGGGAGCTGCACTGGTACGTGGCACACTGCGAGCCGGTCCTGTGCGCCCACATCCTCCTGGGTGCCCAACTCCGGGTCTAATCCAGCAGCCCCTCACACACCCTACATGTGAGATACCAACTCCACCCCTCTCTCTGCCCTTCTCCCACCCCGCAGATGTGCCCGAGTGGAATTTCGATGGCTCCAGCACAGCTCAGGCAGAGGGCTCCAACAGCGACATGTTCCTGGTGCCCGTCTGCATGTTCAGGGACCCCTTCTGCCTGGACCCCAACAAGCTGGTGCTGTGCGAAGTGCTGAAGTACAACAGGAAACCTGCAGGTGAGCATCGGTGTTGGTGTTGTTAATAATTCTTAATGCCTGTCGCCCTGGGGATAATTTGCAGTGCCTCTCTCCAAGGGGACTGCAGGCACTGGTGCTACTGTTTGTGGAATTGCACTGAGCACTTGGCCTAAGGCTCTGAAATGCAGGTGCCACGGGTGCATGCGTGGATGTGTTTTGGAGGTGCTGCAACAAGCAGGAGCACAGCAAGGAGGCTGATGTCCCTCGGGCAGAAGGGTGAGCTGGGGACTGATCCTGAGCGCACCCAGCCCTGCGGGGCTGTGCAGAGCACCAGCACTCCGTCTTGTAAATAAGAGGGAACCGCAGATGGGAAGTGGTGCTCAGAGCACTCAGGGGTGGAAACAGCAGGAAGAGTCGCTCTGCTGGTGGATGGCTGCAGGAAGGGAGCTGCAGGCAGGAGCTGGCGCGGCGCAGTCAGGCACGGGGTGTCCTTCTGCAAGCACAAGGACTTATCGGCGAGGGCAGAAGTCTGCAGTCCCGGCAGTCCGTTTGTCTGTCCATCTGATAAAGGTGCAGCTGGAGGAGGGGAGCCTTGGAGGAAGGGTTTTGGTTGAGATCTGTGCTTGGAGGCAGCTTTAAGCATGGCCTCGAGTGCTGGAGTTGGATTTGGGCCCCATTAAGTACCTCTCGTGTCTTACTGTCCTGCTCCCACAGCCCTGGAGCTATGGGGATGAGGAGGACTAAACTGGGGCTGAGGATGGGAGCAAAGACATAATGGGAGATGGGCAGACCCTGTTCCTCGCTGTGCCAGGTGCCTGTGGGACAGGGCTGGCAGATGTCCTTGCTGTCTTCATGTGCGAGAGGAAGACGAGGACAATCATAGCTGGACATGGTGATCTTAGAGGTCTTTTTCAGCCCTAATTGTTCTATGATTCTATGACCGGAGGTTGTGGTTTAGGGAGTGATTTAATGAAACCTCCTGAGTCTGTGGCCGTGCAGTGGCTCTGCAGGGAGGAACCCAGTGAGTAGAAAGTGCTGCATGAAGGGGAATTCGCTCACTGCTCTCCTTGGGGCTTCTGTGGGAAGAACTTGGGGGTGGCTGGGACTGAGAGGGCTGAGGGCGACCGGGTCTGACTGCAACCACTGCTCGCAGAGACCAACCTGAGGCACACCTGCAAGAAGGTGATGGACCTGGTGAAGGACAGCCACCCCTGGTTCGGGATGGAGCAGGAGTACACACTGCTGGGTGTCAATGGCCACCCCTATGGCTGGCCCGACAACGGCTTCCCCGGCCCACAGGGTAAGTGCCTTCCTGAGGCCCCGACCCAAATGCTCAGCCCATAGGGAATGCAATCCTACAGCAGGCATCCCCATCCCAGCCCCATCCCATCGCCAGTGCTTCTCTGTGGTGGGTGGGAGGAGGTCTGGAACTGTTTCACCGCTGCCCCGTGGCTCACATGAGCCGGACCCCATTGCACAAACAGCTCTTGGCTGCACGACTTGTTTGTCAAGGGCTGGAGAACTCGGCCGGAAAAATCTCCCCACGGCTGTTGGTGAAAGGACCGGCTGGGTGCATGAGCCCAAGCACCTCCTAGAGGGGGCCGGGGGTTTCCCAACCCGCCTTACCCAGCCCGGCACAGGGACGGACTGTTTGCAACATCTCCCTTCCCCCAGGCGGGGAGGAGATCTTCCCCTGGCAGGCTGAATGAGGAAGAACCCTGTGAAACCACAGCCTGCTGACTCTTCTAGGCACGAACAATGCCGGCTGTTGTCAGAACAATGTCTGGAGCCTGAAGTGCTCAGAGAGCCGGGGTGGTGCCGCCGGGCACATCCAGCCCAGCTCTGCTTATCTCTTGGTCGCCTTCCCATTGCCAGTCCAGTTGAGCTGCATAGATAAGGCTGAGGTTGCACCACCACTGGGCTCTGGATTTTGGGTCTGAGCTCCGATGCACTGTGGAGGGCAGCGCCGTTTGATTCCTGTAAATTCTCTGTGACCAACACAATTCTCTGTTGCCGAGTTGGTGGAATTTCCTCCCCAGTGCTTTATTTACCTGATGCCTTCTGCCTCCTCCCCAGGCCCTTATTACTGTGGGGTTGGAGCAGATAAGGTATACGGACGTGACATCGTGGAGTCCCACTACAAGGCTTGCCTTTATGCGGGCGTGAAGATCTGCGGCACCAACGCCGAGGTGATGCCCTCCCAGGTGGGTGCTTGGAGGTGCTGACCATGAGGATGCTCTGGGTCTGCTTCCCCCAGATGCATGTCTCCCATCTCCCCTTGGAGGATTCTCTGCTGTTGGGTCTCCAGTGCTGAACATGTGTTGCTGGCTTAATCCTGCAGCATCAGTGCCAGCCAGGATGGCAGCAAACCAAGCTGTGGGTGCCCACATCCTGCCCTTGGTCCTGAGGACCCTCCTGCAGCACACATGGCTGGAGGGGATTTGAGTAGTTGAGGTGTTATCTCAAAGTGGTCCCTGATTGCTTTATGCATGTGGCCAGGCTGGGTAGTGGCAATTGGAGCCTCCCACTGATAAGCAGGGCCTTGTTGGCAGGGGGCTGAGGCAGGACATTACAAGTGTAACGAACCTGTTGCTTGCCCTGACATGATCAGTGTCCCCTCGGCTGCTCTCAGCACACTGTGATCCAGCTGTGCTGTGCCAGTGGTGGTGGATGTGTCACTGCTGCTGTCACCATGAGTGGTGCAACCCTGTCCCAGGAAGGACGCCTGAAGATGTAGGGACGTCTTCAATCCCATGCTGTCCTGGGTAGATTTTTTTTGCACAACTCTGGTTTTAGCAGCAATTTAGGGTTTATTAATGCTTTTATGATAAATCACAAGGTTAGGTTGCATGAGTCTTAAAGCGCTTCATCAGCACTTAATCATTAGCCAGTTGAAGGCAGCGATTGCTCAGAGAAGCTGTGGGTGCCCCATTCCTGGAGGTGCTCAAGGCCAGGCTGGGGGCCCTGGGCAGCCTGATCTGCTTGGGGGCACCCGGCCCACTGCAGGGGGTTGTAAGTGGATGATCTTTAAGGTCCCTTCCAACCGAAACCATTCTGTGATTCTATGATTCAGTGCTTCAGTAGAATTTGTTACAGTTGAATACCACAACTTAAAGGCTTGAGAATGGCCAAGTTCAATGAAACGCTGCAGGGAATTGGAGGGGATGTTCCTCAACCCTCAGCTGCATGCTCAGGACCTTCTTTGCCTGGTTCATTTCTCACCTATCCTTTCATCAGCTCTCAGTGGATGATGAGATCTGTCCCAAAAGGGCTTCTCTTCTTCGCTGTTGGTCGGCAAGGAACCTGAAGAAGCTGACCCTGAGGCGTCCCATTCCAGGGGAGGATCAGGAATCATAGTCTGCTGTGGGCCTTGGGAGCTCAAGGGGCTGCTGTCTTACGATCCTTATTTGTAGGACCTCGAGATAATTGACTTCAGTCAGAAAACTTCCCATTCTGTCTGCAGTTCAGGTGAGGCAGTGCTGGAACTTTTCACGCACTGCACAGTTCCAGTACGCAATGGATTGCACTGTGGTCTACAAAGCTCAGCCATTCCCCACACTGCCAGCTGTTGCTGAGGCTGGCAGACAGGAGCTGCCCGACCAGGTGGCACCAACGTGACCCCCCCGCACACATTCTTTTTCCCTTGCAGTGGGAATTCCAGGTAGGCCCATGCGAGGGCATCGAGATGGGTGACCACCTCTGGATGGCTCGCTTCATCCTCCACCGTGTCTGTGAGGACTTTGGGGTCGTGGCCACTCTGGACCCCAAACCGATGACCGGCAACTGGAACGGGGCCGGGTGCCACACCAACTACAGCACCGAGGAGATGCGGAAGGAGGGAGGCCTCAAGTGAGTCCTTGGGGCTGCAGCCAGGAGGGTTGGGGCAATGCGCTGAGCATCTGATTTTAAAAGGCACTTGTCACATGCGGTGGCTCGAGCATATCCCTGTGCCAAACCTGACCCCATCCATCCCCCGTAGGCACATCGAAGCCGCCATCGAGAAGCTGAGCAAGCGGCACGACTACCACATCTGTGTCTACGACCCGCGGGGCGGCAGGGACAACTCCCGGCGCCTCACCGGCCACCACGAGACCTCCAACATCTTCGAGTTCTCTGCTGGCGTGGCCAACCGTGGAGCCAGCATCCGCATCCCGCGCCAGGTGGGCCAGGACGGCTTTGGCTACTTTGAAGACAGGCGGCCGGCGGCCAACTGCGACCCCTATGCGGTCACGGAGGCCATCATGAGGACCACGGTGCTCAACGAGACCGGCGTGGAGACCAAGGAGTATGCAGAGCACTGAGGCCGTGGGATGGGTGAGGGTTTTGTGTTGACACTGATCGTGCCCGTGCTCTCAGCTGTGAGCTCAGACTCTTTAGGAAAACTCGCTTCTGGTTTTGTGAAACGTTGCCTTAGAAATCCTATATATTTTATAGTAAGAGGGAGGGGCCCAACCTATTTTCTCAGCCACTTTTTCTGGTTCCTGGTTTTAGGTCACACCTGGGGAGGTTGTTGGTTTTTTTTTAAACTTGGATTGAATTTTTTTTCTTCTGATGGACTTTACACTGTGATGTACATAGATTCCTACATGGAAGCTGCAGCTGCTGCTGTTTGCACCTGGGCAGGGTGTGTGCTTTTTTTTTTTTTTTTTTTTTTTTTTTTTTTTCCCAGTGTCTCTGTTGCAAGGAAATGATAATAAAGAATTTTCCTGGCTGCGTGGCAGCTGTGTTATCCTGCTACAGGTGCATTTTTCTGTACCTCCAAGAGCTCCATGCAGGATTCAGTTCGAGTTCGAGGGTTGATGCTGCTGGGACCAGGCAGCGCAGGAGCTGAGATGCTGGAGGAGCCCTGGGGCAGTTTTAGCTGCTGCAGGGGCTGTGCTGCCCCATTTGCCGCATCCCAAAGCTCATCTCCCTCCATCGTGATCCCCACAAGGCAAACAGAGCAGCACAGCCTGAGCAAACAGTGGCCGGGGCAGCAGCTGGCGGGTGTTTACACTGAGCTGCTGAGTCAGCACTGCACACAGCAGGTGGGGAACAGCCCTTAGGAACACTTGGGGCTGAGCGATGGAGCTGAGCGATGCCCCCACTGCACCCCCAGCACGATGCCCCTCGGCAGCTCGAGTGATGGATGCTCTGCTGATCCCCAGGGATGCGGTGTTGGTGTCTGCGATCCTGGAGGCCGTGAATTTCTGAGCAAAAAGCTTCAGTGTCACTCCAGATGACCGTGGACAGAACGTGGGTGCAAGTGAAGGGAGTGGTGCACAACAGTGCCTGTTCTCCAACTGCAGGATCCCCTGTTGGGTGGCACAGGCTCGTCCTGGGCTGGGACAGCTGCATGGCCACTGGCAGCAGTTACCCAGAGAGGATGGGGTACTTGCTTTGGGGATGGATGGTCTCACATCTGCCCTAGTGCTATCAGAAGGATATTGAATCTTGTTTTGCCTTTTCCTGTGAAGCGATGAGCCCAATCTACAGGTCCCAGCTCCCTCCTGCTGGTCACAGCACTGCCAGAGGAGTGGGAGAGATGGCAGTGGGAGATGGAGATGCTGTTGTGCCCCAGATCTGTGTGTAGCCGGGAGCCCATGGTGTCTCTGAACCATTCAGTAAATGCAGCCTGCTCCTCCCCACACTAACAGGGATGTGTTTTCCTCCCAGAAATTGCCATTCAGAATTTTTAATGCTCTTCATCCAAACCACAACTCTGCCTTGTTTTCCTCTCATTTCTATGATGTCTTTAATGGGTGATGTGAGCACTGGGACAGTGACTGCTGCCTGCAGCTGGAAAATCAATAAAGAGCTAAATCTGGAGCAGGAACACTCATGTTCCTTTCTCTGTACAAGTGGTTTTGAGTACAGCGCTGTGCCACTAAATCTGGAGAAGCATGGAAATCTGCATTGCCAACATACAGATGACTCTGGCACAGCACCGTGTGGGGTGCATCCATCCCTTTGTGTCCGTTCTGGGTCTTATCCTATAATTCTCCTCCACTGGAGCCATTTGGGGAGGACAAGGAGGCTCCAGAGACTCCCAGGGCCACAGGGGCTGTTCCCAGCCCTGCGTGCTGCCCACAGGGGATGCTGCGGTTTCTGCGTGCTTGGATGCTGCTGGCTGTCCTTTGCCAGAATGTAGATCTTGCTTGTACTTTTTGGGGTCAAAATGGGTCAGAAACCATATTTTATGATTTTTTAATTTTTTTTTCCCCCTTAAAGCAGGAAGATTTCCACCCACAGGGCCAGCACCGCAGGGGAAACAAGGACATGGGAACCTGCTCTCAAGAACTTTTCTAACAATTTGGCTGCTGTAGGAAGAGGGTTGTGGGGCTCAGTTGGCAGAGCAGATGCTGGGGACGGATCGGGTCGGGGCCGGAGGCGGCAGCGGGCTGGCAGCATCGCCATCCCTATGCTCACACCATAGCAGGGCACCATGATGACTGGCAGCAGTGAGGGAGCCCCACGCGAATCCCAGCGCAGGAAGGGCTGCTAGGCGGGGGTACAGCCAGGAGGCCCGGCTTTGCCTTGGGGCACCTTCACCTAGCGCTGTCCCAAAGCGGCACCCCGAGATCTTCCCCCTGCCGGGGCCGCATCCTGCGCGGGGAGCGCTGCGGGTTCCTCCGGGTGCGGAGCTCAGCCGGGGCTTTGCTGCCCTCAGCAGGCTCTGAAGCGAACGGCAACGAGCGCGGCCCCAGGACCAGCCCCGGCCCCACAGCGCCATTCCCACCCGGCAGCGGGGAAAGAAAACACATCTGAGCTTTATTCCCGCACCTTCGGGGACACCGGCTCGTCCCGCAGCTTCCTGTGCCCCCAGAGCTCTTTCCATCCCTCCCAGTGTGTTACACCGGTTTCAGCCAAGGTCTTTGGGATATGTTTTTTTAAATTATTATTAGAGGACAGTAGGATTACAATTCTGATGCTAACAATGGCACTACTGAAAGCTGCTGGGCAGAAGTGGGGAGCTCGAGGTAGAAAAAAGGCTTGAACTGAAGTCAGTAATAACCTCTTTTTTTTTTCCCCTTCCCCGTCTCCCAGCCCACACAATCTGCTTGGCTCTCTTTATCTCAATAAGCATTTAAATGGTTTCAAATTAAAATAAAATTTCTGGAAAATGGAACTTCATTCCTTCAGAACTTCAGCCTGGCCTTTAAAAGCCAGCAATAACGTTTTGGTTTTGTATGAGAGCATCTTTGATCTCAGAGGCTCTCAGCTGCAGGGATTGCAGCTCAGCACCAGCAGCTCTCCGCCATTGGAACGCAGCTGTAAGGGAGGGGCTCATCTGGGGATGCTCAGCCCTGGTCCTGTGCTCATCCTGAAGCACATCTGTCTCCTCTGACACCTCCTTAGGAACCCAGCACCCCCCCAGTCACAGTAACAGCACAGTAGAGCTGGACGAGCTGTCACAGTCCCCTGTGAGCAGCAGGCTGGGGGCTGCAGAGTGTTAGGAATTGGCAGTGATGGGCTGTGACGACCCTGAGCAGCCTCAGCTGTGCCCTCACTCGTGGGCCTGGGGCTCTGTTTTAGCTCAGACCGGTAGCATTGCAGGGAGTTTTACTGATGGTCTGCATGTTTGGTTGGAGTCTTCTGTAATCTCTGGTCTGCTGTGCTTGGGAGCAGAGGGCTGGGGTCCTCGCTGTGCCCCAGTGGGAGAAGGGTAAGCTGGAGGGGCTGAGCATCAGGGCAGCTACAGCATGGGGTCAGTTCTTCATGGTGACATCCATGTGAGGACCTGGGATACTACCACGTGTCCTCTCCAGAGAAGTTCTCTGGCCATGCACGGGTTTGAAGAGGACGTGATAAAAATAGCTGTAGGTAGGGTTGGGTTTAAAACATCCCTTTCTGCAGGGGTGATGGATGCTGCTGGGAAACAGAGCAGTGAGTGGGAAAATTAGGCTTGCCCTAAACCCATCTGAGCCTCAGCTCATGGGAAACCAGGGAGGAGTGAAAAATGCAGCAATGAGGTGGTGGTTCAGGGAAAGCGAGAAAGAAAGATGTTAGCAGGTCTGGCAGCAGCTGATCTGTAAGAGAGCTCCAGGGAGAATGCTGAAATCAGTTTGGGGGCTGCCCTGCTGCAAAGGCTGCTCTCAGATGGCTCTCTTCTTAAGGGCTTAATCCTGGGCATATGCTCGCAGTGTGCCTGGGGTGTTACCACCTCATCCACACACTCACAGCCTGTGCTGTCACTGTGGTCCTGGCCGTGTTGAACCAGGCACACCACATCCTTCCCTCCTGGTCCTGAGCCAAGGGTCCGGTGGTTTATCGCCCAAGATGTGTGATGCCTGATGTGTCCTTCTGCCAAGGTCCCTCTTCTTGCATTCCCCAGTGCAAGGGCTTTGTTATTCCCAAATAACCCAGTGAAAGAGCCACGAAGCTGCTGGCTGCAGAAGCACCACCTGATGGCTTGGTAAGGACGGGCTGTGGGCTTCACCAACCTCACTAGTGCCACCAGTTGGCAGGAGATGCTCAGTGTGTGCTTCCAGCACGGCAGAGCTTCCATCAGCGCTGTGCCGAGGTGGGGCAGTGCTGGGACAGGCCCTGGAGGCACTAATCAGTGGTGCTCAGGTTGGGGCAGGTTTGGCAGAGGTGACTCACCTGCTTGTGACAAGCCTGCTGACATCAGAGCACTGGCCTCTGAGCTCCCGGAAACTCAAATTAATGATGATGGAAGGGAAAAATCTTGTGTGGGACAGCCCTGGCAGAGGGAGGTTTGGGCTGAGATGACTTATAGTGTATGCCTGGGTCTGGAAGGCTTCTGGGCCAACAGAACTGCACTGCTGATGTCCCCCAGCCTGAGCCTGGGAAGGAGTGTAGGGGCTGTAGGGTGTCTCCACCTCATATTCTTGATTTGGGGGCTGCCATCACCCCAGTGTTTGCTCTTCTCTCCTCAGGCCCCTCATGCTGGGTTATGGGGAGAGTTGGGGGATTTCTTAGTAACATCTTGTCTGTGCTACCTACTGCAAGGTCCATCCCACAGCTTTTATCATCTAGAAGGGGGATGTGGGGACTGGTTAAATTAATCCTCACTGGAGGCTGCTGAGAGGTGCTGGGATCGCTCCTGGCAGCTATGGTCAGCCTAGATAGCACCACTGACCCTGCTGCAAGTTATCTCCTTAGCAGTCAGCAATGTGGGATGACTCCTCAACTCTTTCTGGGAGGGGAATGTGGTGCTTTTAGGCAAAAGATCTGCAGCAGGTGAGATGGTGGACTTTGCACAGGAGTGGCTGATAAGCCACAATGCGGAGCCCACGGTGGGGCAGCAGGAAGGGCAGTAGAGTGCGAAGAGCCTGGGAAAAGCTGGGTACTGCTGGGTGTGATGGTGGTGAGTGCTCTGCCAGCTATGTGGGCTGCCGTGCTGTTACAGGGAAGGAGGAATGAAGAACCGGGCAGTGATGGGAAGGGAGACATGATGTCAAACATAAGGTCCAGGTGCCTTGCTGCTCAGGTGGTGATTGGGTGTAGCTGGGGATCCCACTGCTACTGAAGCCATTGCCTGCTCAGGAATGGCAAGCGTGTGGGTACTGGTCTGCCTGCAGGGAACACGAATACAAACAGTTTTACAATGAGAAGAGAAATGCAAAAAGAATATGCAAATCCAGCCCTAAATTTTAATTGGACTTCTTCTCAGACTGGATCCTGCTGGGATTGCAGAGCAGGTGAGTGAGTCCCCCTGCTCCCAGAGCTCACAGGCAGACTGCAGACCCTCTGCCTGAGCTGTGATACTGACACCGTGGGGAAGGGAGGACA